TCAGTCTGAGACAGATGTTACAGAATGTCAGTCTGAGACTGAGATGTTACAGAATGTCAGTCTGAGACAGATGTTACATAATGTCTGTCTGAGACAGATGTTACATAATGTCAGTCTGAGACCAAGATGTTACAGAATGTTAGAATGAGACAGATGTTACAGAATGTCAGTCTGAGACAGATGTTACAGAATGTCAGTCTGAGACTGAGATGTCACAGAATGTCAGTCTGAGACAGATGTTACAGAATGTCAGTCTGAGACTGAGATGTTACAGAATGTCAGTCTGAGACAGATGTTACAGAATGTCAGTCTGAGACAGATGTTACAGAATGTCAGTCTGAGACAGATGTTACAGAATGTCAGTCTGAGACAGATGTTACAGAATGTCAGTCTGAGACAGATGTTACAGAATGTCAGTCTGAGACTGAGATGTTACAGAATGTTACAGAATGTCAGTCTGAGACAGATGTTACAGAATGTCAGTCTGAGACAGATGTTACAGAATGTCAGTCTGAGACAGATGTTACAGAATGTTAGTCTGAGACAGATGTTACAGAATGTCAGTCTGAGACAGATGTTACAGAATGTCAGTCTGAGACAGAGATAAATCAATCTCAAACATATACAAGAAATGCTTTCTTTTTCTTGAACATCATAATGTGTAAAAATTCCATAAACCTTTTTAACCAAGTTTCATTTCCAAATTTTTCAGTTCAATTATTTACCTCCATTTGAGGTTATGTCTTGACAAGAAAGACACCTGAAGGTGACAGCACTTTAATTTTTTCAAAATATGAACTTATTTTTACAAAAACTGTGGCACAAGCTATCAGCTTATATTTATCAATCTTGCCGGCCCATATGTAAGCTAACAATGGGTCATATTGTGTGTGGGAACTGGAATACTGAGGGGAAAAGCCACATGGTCGGGCAGGTAACCCCATACCTTTTCCTATCCATTTCCGGAATTGAACCCTGGATAGCTAGGTGAAAGGCAAGTAAGTGTGTTACCACTGTGTCATCCAACCACTCCGTTTTAACTTATACATTACTTGGGATCAAATTTGTTTAAAGGTATCAAAATGATCAGACAAGACAGAAAAAATCCAGCTGTGGGTATGTAAGGAGAGAAATTTCCCTCTCTCCTTCATAAGAATAGCTAATCCTACTAATCGTACCATGTCCTGGGCTTATTGCAGGAGAGACAGGATAAACTGCATTATGACAAGGTAAACATTAAACCACTATAAACAGGGGTACGACTAATATCTTACTTTCTCCATTCTTATTCCGATCATGTTATGTCCAACTGCAGCAGGAAAATTAGAAAGTTTGGATTTAATTAAGTTAGTAATGCAGATCAATTCCAACATATATGAGCCAAAACATAGTCTATACATCTTCATTATCACTTAAGAAAATGATATCTTTCCTCTACCAGAGACACATTTTCTATTGCAGGCCTTCCACTTTATCATTTGCCGAAAAAATTGTGGTTTAAAATGGGTAATCTCTTTTTAATGCAAATTCAAAGAAGAAAATTATCACTGGTTCACACTGTGATGGCATTCTTTATTTTTGAAATATGGACAAAATTTGTAAAATGCAAATAGTACTATTTCAAGATAATTTCTAACACTGAAGCTTAACAATTACAGAAAATACTGCATATGTATGGTTTGGCTCACAAATATTAGTTAATACAAATATATACATACAGGCAAACAGTCCATTTCATGCTGTTTGTATCTTGCTGCAAACAAATAAAATGATAGTTATCATAAGACATCATTTCTTGATTAGGGTAGACATTTTTTATATTAGGGATGCCAACTAAAGTTCAAATTCATTTGGCAGGGTGGTACTTGAATAGGGAAATGATATTCAAATATCAGTTTGGTAAGGTGGTACTTGAATAGGGAAATGATATTTAAATATCAGTTTGGTAAGGTGGTACTTGAATAGGGAAATGATATTTAAATATTTGTTCTTGCTGTTGTTCAATATTTACATTTGGAAGAAAGTTCATTAAACTTTGTTTATTCTCTGTCGACAAAACATCCCATTTTCATTCTGAAGAGAACTTTGTCAGCCAAAGCATGAAGGTACTCTAAGTGTTAAAACATTCTACATCAACACAATTTATCATCACACTATTTTATCTTATTGCTGAAGGGCCATATCCAAGTAAGTTTTGCATCTGTGAAACAACGAAGGACAGCAGTAAATACCAGCAACATAGATATCTGATAGCATCTTCCTTTGGATATTTTTATTGTTATGGTGATTTAGAGTGTTAACAGTGATAAACATGTTGGCACAAAACGTGAGAAATTCTTTGCCAATTTCAATAAAAAGAAGTGTTCTATGATTAATCATTACAATATTAGTTTTTATTTACATTTAGTTCAATTTAATGTTGTTCTGGGCCTGAAGTATGTGAAAAAGCCACCTTTGTATCGGACATGGAATAAGTATTATTTTTGTACATAAGCACATAGTGAAACAGTTGATATTATGAAGTATTATGACAATTATTCTCTTAAAAATGTCATTTTTACATTTTCATAACAATTCTTTTTCCGAGTTTTGAAAGATGAAGGGGATATATTTATTTGTGTCTTCACTTTATACCATAACCTGTGACATCTTTTCGTGTTTACTGTTTTTGAACTAGAAAGGAAAATTCATGTGGCCAGACATATATAGGGAACTTCATACCTGTCATGTCAGATCAGTAAAAGGAGAGTGTTATAATATCACCACACTATCCAATCACCTAGTATAGGACCTTCAGGAGCATATAGTCTACCCTGGACAATACACATTTAAGGTATTAGGGGTGTAACAGGAAATTTAAACATAATCAAATCATGAATATCTATAATTCTTTACCTGTGAGGTATCTTTTCACAAATTTTTATGATCTTCTGTCCACAGGATTAAAAAATATAGGTAGATGTATTGCTGTATCCTCATATCCTTGATTCTACTACAAAAACTTCAATGTCTAGGCACACTTATTTCTATACCAAGATAATCAGGGTGGAATAATTCTTTCTTTTTCTGTCTGGAATGCTTAGTGAGTGTTCAATGTAATGCGCCCATACATTTGCATGTCTGTCTTGAGCTTGCTGTTGGGTTAACAGTTGCCTTTGCCTTATTGTAACGTAAACTGAAGATTGCCAAGGTCGGAAACATCAGTAAACATTGGGATTTTGATCTGAAGTTATTAATTACAACCCTGATACCTTAAACAAGTTGACTTCCTCCCACAACAGAAATAACAGCACATGGTCTTAAACTACTTAGAAAACATAATATTGATGATGATTACTAGTGACTGATAATTAGGTGAAAGGGGGTTACCTAATGGTGAGGCTAACTATAACTGTTTACATCAGATTAACTAGGAGAAACAAATATTCAAATTATGGTTACTACATGTACTAAGGATGCTCATTCTAGTTTTAGACATGAATATTCATAAAGGGTCTTTACTCAGGCCTAAGAACTATAGCAGTCACATTATATACAGGTCACAAATCAAATTATGTCATGTGAGAATGGAAGCTGGCAAAAAAAATGTGTAAATAAATTTCCTTATATTGATACCCTGGTTCATACAAGATAAATCCCATCCTAAGCATCTCCCATGAATAAACTAGATTGATAAGAGGAACTGACTGAAGCTTAAAGGTTGAAAAGCTCTTGTCAACTTTATACACTTGTAGGTGTGTGAAGCTGACATTTCTGGAGTCTAAAATATCAAAGTAATATGACTGAGTGACCTTGAGAATGACACCACAATCTAGAAAACTGCTGACTAAGCCATGATAAACTCTGTCAGTACTTAAGTAGGTATAACTTTTACCTCTTTAAACTCTTATTACATTAAATTCTAGTTCAATGACCTGTCACTGAACACTTCCATATGCTGGGTTTATTGTTGCACATAACAAAGTTAAATTTTAACAAAAACTTGTCCATTTAGCAATTGTAAGTATAACAACTCCTGGTAAGATTGGTAATAATCTCAAATTTTGTTTTTCTTAATTTTTCTTCTTTTTTTTCTTCTTTTTTTTAAAGATAGATTTTCTATTTTCTTATCAAAATATTATGATAATTTGTATAGAGATCTTTACTGTTAAATGGACAATTAAACAATTACATTTCATGATAATGGAACATAAAATATTGCCATGCCAACTGTAAGGGCTTCATCCATATTAGTATTATATTAACTGTGAACAGCAGCAGTATCATAATCACATATTAGTTCTTTCATTGCCAGAAAATAAAAGCATGCCAAAGTTAGCACTCAATCTAAAATCAATGCATAATTCCTTGGCTAAGCTTCTGATGACCTAGTTCTTCATTTTAACATTTCTCAGACTACGTGTACTTTGTTCAAATTGGAATCAAGTTTACTTACTTATAGCTAAAGCATTTTTTTTTTCAATCTGTCAATCCTCAATTTGTAGAGTAACTGGTCTTAGTTATAAATCTATAAAAACACTGAAGTTTTTATTTAACTGTTGATCAAGTCAATCAACATACCAAAATGCCAACATGAGTATCATCACTGTTACTGTGGATGACAGCTAGTAAAGTATCTTTCTGCTGGAGGCTTCACAGATTAAAGTATGAAGGGAAGCTCATAGGGTCAGACATGTAACAAGATTCATAACTTTCCTGTCAAATCAGGGAATCAAACCCTTGTTGCCCAGATAAATTGAGTGTAAATGTTAATACACTTTTAAAGTGTGACAAACATATTTCCAACTTGCCGTCATTTCAATTGAGTCTGGTACAGTTTCACAGTAATTTTTTACCATGACAGTGTGTTGTTAATTTTAAGACAAGTGTTCACAAATATATTCATTTCTCTACTATTAATGTAATTGTTATGCAGTTTATAAATATATATACATATAAGGGTATGTTTTCACATCCAGTCTGCTATACCTGTATTTCTCAAACATGACCTATAATTTCAGGGAAAATCCACATAAACTGTTTCCTGCTACCTCACTCCAAGTAACAAAAGTGTCTTCCAGAAACAAGAGTTCTACTCAAGGGAGGTAAATATGGAAGAAGCAATCATAGTGGTTATTTCCCTTCCTCTATTATAGTAGATTGACACCTGCTTCCATAAACAGTACCACATACCCTATCAATCATCTTTAGTCAGTTAAGATATAAATATCTTAATCCACAAGTTCTGGGTATTGGAGATCTTTTTTTTTTCTCCTCTATTGGCTTTACACAAGCACTTAAATCATCTGAAATTAGCCTAATTAGAAAATTATATCACTATTTGTGCAAACATTGACAGCAATCAAATTTCTGTTAATGAATGTTGTGTCTGTTGCCATTTCTTGTTCTTATTGAAGATACAATCTACTTTCAATGAAGCTGATCACAGTTTATTGAAGTTTGTGTTGTTGAGAGTATACGTAAACCTGTTTTAAATCTTGGCAAACCATAAAATCTGTTCATGTATATTCCTCATTCATCTAGAATACAAATATCATATGAAATACATGTTTTCAAGGCATGAAAAAAATGATCTAAACAGCAACTGAAATAAATCAAACGAAAATTATTTTTGATAAGATGTAGAGACTGACCATTTGGTTACATATAAGCATACTTATATGTTAAACTGAACAGATATGAACATTTAAATTCCAATGCCAAATTTTTTAATTAAAGGTGACATTTATTCATCGAAATTGGTCAGCTTGCAATAGATTTATATTTGACGGGATCATCTTAACAGATTAACAACACTCTGTTTAACAGGCAGATACAGTAAGATTTGAAGATGAATACAGAGAGGAGCTCACTCTTTGCAAGCAGATTTGATAAATCTACCAGATGATAGCCATGATGCCACCAACTCCAATGTGACCAATGAGAAGGGGATACTTTTAAAATGGTAGAAATCATAACAAAAACAAAATTAACAATGAAACAAAATAGGCCAAAATCCTATAAATAATTATAAAAAAAGTCCTAATTGTAACGGGGACTATTACATACGTCAATCAAACACTTCTGCAAATTAAAATGAGAAAACAAGAGGACTAAGGGGCCCGCATCACACACTTGGCTTATTCAGTTATTCATTAACAAAGAATTTCAAATGTGACAATTAATCTCCTCCTCAAGTCCTACCCTTGTGGTCAACCACAAGTCAGATTCACTATTCATGAAAATTATGTAAGAATAAACTTGGACAATATTTTTTTCCCATATTGGACCCCATCCCTCTCACCCAGGGGGCGGGGTAGGGGAGGGCGCAGGAACTGTTGTATTCTTCAGACCAAATTTGGACAAAATCCAATCATTCCAACGAATTGTAAAGAAATTGTTCTTTTACACCTATTGGGCTCCACAAAAACTAGCTACATTGTATATTAGTCTGTATGTCAATGAATCAGGTTCAATTATTATTATTTGGTTTTTTTTTTCAAAATGGCACCAGACCTGATTTTAGATAGTGCTGATATATGTTTCTTTAACAAGTCTTAGTCAGATGTCTCTTAATCATTTCAGACAAATATGAGATTAATCCTACAGAAGGAACCTGAATTTATAATACAGTTATGAAACGGCATTATAGTTTACATACACTTCCGAGGATTCTGGGTAGCTAGCACCCAGAAGACTTTGTACCTCACCTATACCAAGGCTTTAACTCTCAGTTATTATGAGACCCCTTAGCAATACAGATGCTATTTACCTATTGTTTGGGGTCTGCCTGATAATACAGTCATACAAACATGATAACTCATTTATACCACTTAATTTTACATTATGTTGTCTATACATTTACATTTATTCTTCAATTTAGAGGGAAAAATGAATTAGTGAACTAGTATTATCAATACCATGTTTGATGTCAGATCGTTGCCATTCCACCATACGCTACTCACAGCTGTCGTGTACACACAAAAAACCCTCAAATTTCCATCTTATTGTACAATTTGAATATATATGTACATTGCATAAACTGTTAGCTCAGTCACTATAATGGTGGGTAACAGTTTGCCGTGGAATGTAAAATTGAAGGTGTTATTCAGAAATTGCATTAGTACAAAATTCCCTTTCCATATTTGGCTATCAAAACACAAAAGGACACGTTCAGAGGTGCACTATCGATCCTCCCTGGGTTGTTAATATCTTAGTAATTAGCAATGGGATGAACTGCTCCAAAAGGCATAGGTGGTTATCAAACAGCGAATACCTCAAACAACATTTACCTGTTAGCGATGTTCATAAACATGACATCCCGAAGCTAGTAGAAGACAACAATTCATGATATGATGATTTCAGACGTTGAATAGTTCGACAATAACGCTGGCCAAATGTCAAAGTGTTCGCTGAAATTGGATGCACTATTTCCATACGGTACAGAGTATGCAAAGCAATGTGACACTGATAAGGCCTTCACTGGTCTGCTTTCGCTATGAAAGTATACAAGAGCTTGTATCGATCTGTCGATCCATTGGCTGAAGCTAAAACTCCGGTTCCCCGATAAATATATTCCTGTGTGGTAAATGATAAAACGCTTTAAAATGATCTTGATTATACAAACCTTCCAATCAGGATTTTTCGGAGCAAATCCGTCAAAACATCAAGCACAATCTGGTTTCTGTTGCTGACTGTTTACATGCCGGAAGTTCCATATACACCATTGTTGTCATTTGGAGGCGTGACTAACAGCCTGGTCCGGAATCCACACTTTCGGCAAAATGGGAAACATTCCTATAACGCAATTTTCATATCTTTATTTATTGATATCTAGCAAAATACGTGCAAGTCAGATGTTAAAATACAGTAACAATTATATCTGCTACATAAAAGGCTGTTGGTGTCAGTGTTTTGGGGATATACTAAAAGGCAACACCGTACTGTACTGTACGGAATAAAATTATAAGCGAAAGATACAAAACGGTGATTAGATATGAGGACACATGGATATAGATGTATGATAACCTGGCTTATATGTCCCTGATTATGAATATCCAAAATAAAAGATTTTTTTCTGTTGAGACTTGCCATAACATAAATGCAGGTTTTGTGTTTCATACTGCATATCAATTAATCCCGATATCTGGCCGACGGGCCGGGGGCAAAAACGGTTCGACCTGAGTGGACTAACCAATAAAAATAATTGGGATTGATGCGTAAGTAGAGAGAAGAGAAACGAAGAAATTCTACTTGCACATGGACACACAGAAGAGTTGTACTAAAGTTGGAATTCGTTGTATAACTTGAATGATATACTCGTAGGCATAATAAACCAAACGCCCCTTTCCCCATGGGAATGTAAGACACTGGGGTCATGAAATTTACAAGTTTGGAAAATGACCTCTAGATCCTTCCATCCGTGGAGAATTTGATCTTTAGGTATCGAGAAGATTTTTTTCTGATTTCAATCAGAGTATTTGGTTCTACCATGTTGTGGTATTAAGAAGATTTTTATTTTTGAAATTTCAGCCAAGTCAAATTGACACTTTTTGGCCCCGCCCCTCAGCCCGCCCCTCAGTCCTGGGTGGAGGGTTTACACATTATTTGCAATTTTGGCTTATCTTCGGCCATGGAAGGCTTCTGCTTAATTCCACTTAAATCGGTTCGAGGGGTTTTCCATATGACTGAGGAGTGCAGGTCGCCCCCTCACGTCGCTAGAACACTGACTTTCGTTGGTGAGACGATATCCGAACACGGGAGGAGTCGTGGAGACGGAAAGCCTGTCAACCAACCAACCAACCAATTTTCCAAGAAAATGTAAACGTTTACAGGTGGAGAATGTAAAACGTTTACAGGTGGACGACGGAAAACGCCGGACAAAAGATGATCGCAATAAGTCGCCATGAGACTTTGTCTCCGACTTAAAAATTACATTCTATAATGACTGTGGCATGATAAAAAAACTTGTAGTTATCTGTTATTTACGTGCAAACAGTTGTTTTTTGTAATATCTATATATTTATAACCATGTGTCTACATGTTTTCGTAATTTTATTACATCAGTCGTGTATTGTATATCCCAGATATATACAGTGACAGTGAAGTTGGCTCATATAAGACTAATTGTAACATTATCAGATACGTACAAAAGTTTATAAAACAAACAAAGCGTGTTACTTCCTGGATCTGAACTGTTCGTAGTCGACACTAAATCGAAAGAATCTATATAAATATCTTGTTATCTATTTTACTTTCTGTCTTTTTATCTTTTACTTCTTTTGACAAAATTATTTAAACGTACGATGATACGACTACGAATCACATATTCTAATGTTTATAGTATAAATATGTGTCACGTGCAAATTATTTTAAATAATTGTAATTTATTTATGGAGAAGAGCTCATAAGTTGCTGAAGATTGTCTCTTGTCCATTTATCTGTCTCTGATAATAAGATCAGTATGCCACACATTTAGAGAGCGACAAGTGTTCTTATGTGACCGAAAGTGTTAACTACCGATAAATTAACTCTTGTTTTGGAATGACGAACTTACAGCTGATGAAAATGCTTTATTTTTTTCAACTATACAAAATTTTATCAGCCAGTCTAAAAGATTTCAATAGGTTGTGGTCCTTTGTTTCGTATCACCTATTTCTTCTCCTTCTATTCCCATTGGCACGAGCAAACCTTGCCAGTCCCTTCTTTCTTTTCCATTACATTACATTATGTTTGAAAACAATAAGCCTACAAAATCAACGTTTGATTACCACGGAAATCCTTGAAAAAAGTGCAAATCGGAGAAGACCAGGTGTTCCAGGAAGATAAACGTTTTCTGCTTCATCGACGGCGTTTGAAGGAAAACCGATAAAACAGTGCCGCTGAAAAAAGTCGGAGCTAAAGTGCTCATTTACAATCAGTACACGAAAAAACTGAAAATCAGCATTTTAACAAACCGCATCGATCGAAGACAGAAAATGTCCAACTCTTCTGTATTGATTTATTGTTATTTTTTTTTATTTATTTCATGGTATTTTTTTCCATGATACTCACGTTATGATAAATGACACATTTCTTGTTCAATACTAAATGACGAAATTCGTCAGGAATGCCCTACCGTTTATGTAGGTAAACATTCCTTTTCTATAACAGTGTAACAGTGAATTTCTTTCCGTAGTCTCCGACCTTGAAACAGAGGTTGACCGTGGTTATACATATCCGTAATTAAGTGTATGACCGAAAATTTGGATAAATAGTCAACACTTCGAGTGGGAAATCTCCTTAATTAATAAAATAATTAATGTCTCATATTGGACTGTTTAGTTTTGGTTTAGCTGATTTTATAAGAGCGAAACTTTATATCAGTGACAAGTGTAAAATCACGATTCGATCACGTCGAAGATAAGAGGTCCCAAGAATTGATCCATCCGAGAAAAAATGTTGTGGAAGTAAAATCACGGAGCTACCGGAAGTGAAAGGCACAATGAAGCATAGGTGCTCTGCACTTTAACCGTAGTTAATGTTTATTTAATATACGATGGCACACTTTCGCTTTCTTGACATACTTTAAATTTTCACTCAACATAAAGATAATTTTTTACACAAATGAAATTTGCACTAATGAAGATTTCGAAGCCGGCGAGTTAGACTATCAAGACGATTTGACGAAATCACTCGGGTTATTTCCGGAATTGTCCGTTTTTTAGATTAAGAAATATTGCAGTGAATGAGTAATAATAATCTACGAAGTACGAAGGATTCAAATGAGATTGGTTAAAATAGTGACTTGAGATAGCGATGGCGATTGACGGAAATACCCGAGTGGTTACTGATTGATAGTCGGTAAGAAGGAACAACCAATCGTGTATAAGGTCACGTCACGAAAAGGTCAACTGTACAGGTCGTCTGCTTCTTTTGTAAACAACCACATGCTGATAGCAGACGTAGCAGATTCTTGAGCAGGTAATACAAGACAATGAGCTTTACAATAAGCCCACCCCATCCTCGACACCCTGTGGTATATTTTAACAGAACAATTGAGTATTACTGTAGCAACTG